CAGAAGGCTTGGTAGCAGAATTGTCCCAACGACAAGGATGTGTAGCATTGGTGCTATTGGTAGCCACCATAGGACGTCTAGGAACTCCTTGGCTACTACGCCACTTCTTTTAGCGAGCTAGATTCGATGCCTCTTCTAACTGAGCAAACTAGAAAGCATCTTCTAGAGTTTGAGGTTTCCACATCTGCAAAACAGGGCGCAATTCCTCTTCCAACCCACTAATAAAGCTACTTATGAAATAGATTTCATCCAAAGCAGGGTTGAACCGAACCATTAATGAACGAAGTTCCTCAAATTTCTCCTAGTAGTCAGCTAAGGAACCCCGTTGTCTAAGCTCATTGAACTCAGCCACCACACCCCCGTACGTGCGATTCCCAAATCTCTGGCATAAAGCGGCCACAAAATCTTCCCACACCAATTCACATTTACCAATTTTCCATCATTCGAACCAGAGATCCGCACGACGTTGAAAATAGATCACCGCCAGATTCACCTTTTGGTCATTAGGAATACCATAAATGTCGAACAATTTCTCTCATTTCCGCGTCCACTCACGAGGATCGTCGCCATTAAAAGACGAAAAATCGAGTCGGGGAAGCTGATTTAGCTGATGATGATTACCTGGGCCTGGAACTTGAATTTGTTCCCGCTCTGCTACTGGATTGATTGGAGCTTGAACCCTAGGTGCCTGTACCAAAACAGGGTCAACTCCCTTGAACCCGAGGTTAGGTAAAGGAAGAATGCCTCGAGCGCCATTCCGATCCACAGACAAAATTCCCGCATCGGCAACAGCCTTGCTGGCCGTGGATTCACCACCACCTGAAGCATGTTACGGATCTCCTGTATGAATTGACCAAAACGATCGTCGATGTGAGCCTTCATTTCTGTGAAGCGCGTTGCCGAACTCGCCTCCATGGTGTCCAAACGAGTCGTCAAAGTAACAAATTGTTGTGAATGACCATCAGAACAAGTCATAATCTCCTGAAATTAAGTAGCTTGAGAATCCACCATACTCCGAACGTCGGCTATTTTGTCGTCGAGAACCCCCTGCGCCTGATTTGTGGATGCCATTAAACTTGTGAGACGCTCGTCAATGGTGCTGTGTGTGTTCGTTATCGAATTCATGGAGCCAAGGCGTGCTCTATTACCACCTTGTCACCCCTTGAGTATGGTGGATTTTGGTTAGCCAATATACAAAAAAATTTCATATATTAATTTTTGTTTTATCTATAGAAGGATTGTTGTCGATGCTTCATTTGAATTTCTGGAAGTTAATCAATACTACAGTTCTACATTTCTCGCATGTGAAAGTTGTTTCAAGTTTAAACATTTTGTTCTTTCATGTCTCAGGATGGTGGATTGTTGGCTTGTTGGAAGGTGACATCAGAACTCGTAATGGCAGAAGGACTCATTTATATCTATATACTCTATCAATCTTGAGGGGAAGGTGACATAAGAACTCGGAAGGTGCGTTCTCCTCCAAATGTGATTCAGGTTCTCCTATAGTAATGGTCTGGTCATTATTTATTTTATGGAACTGTAGTTTGTATGACAAAAAACATAGAGTTGGGTCATATTGTATTTGATATTCATTGAACTTGAATAATAATTTGGAGCTGATGTCACCTATAAGAACATTACTAACGAAACAAGAAGCTACTGAATCGGTTAATCCACAAATGAATAATGACCATGTAGATCTACTCATGTAAAAGTCAATAATAGAAACAAAAATATTTACCTCTAAAAAACATTTTAGAGATGGATATTTGTGTCTTTAAAACTAGATAAAAAGGGAGAATTATAACCACCAAAAAGAGATAATAGAGACCAAAATAATTGTAGTAGTATCTCTAGTCTCTACTTAGCTACAGATGACATATGCATCTTTATATGTCTCTATAGGACTATAGCAATAGCACTACTTGAGACAAATGTATAATGTGTATATAAAGTTATATAGAAACAAATAAGTATCTTATAGAGACAAATTTCCTGTCTCTATAATTCATTTTTCATGTAGTGTCAATATAACAAAATTCATTTTGAAATCCAACAAGCAAACATACAGTTTGTAAAATCCAACATATATTAAAAATAGAAAATCCAACATAATCCTTCAATCCCAAATTCACCAAAATCCTTTATTTTTTTTAAATCCCACAAACAAACTACCGCAAAAAATATTTTTGAGCTTATATTATTGATCAGTAGGTTGTGTAATGATCATTAGATATTTGAGATACAAATTATAAACTAATTATACTAAAAGAAATTGATCAGTGACTAGAGGTTTCCGTTAGTAAAGACCATATTACGCCGCAAATGGGCTTTTGAAACGTCATGAAGTCATCGAGCTCCGTTCCAAATACGAGCGTCACAAAAATAATCTTTGTAACGAGCCGTCTTAAAAGCTATTTTGTGACGGCTACAAGTTATCTCTAATGCGTCTTGAATTTGACAAAGTTGAAAGACTTTTTTCCGACGACAAAGAATCGTCGCAATAATTATAAATCTCTTCTGTGCTTGCATGTGTTGCTGCTGAGTTAGCCTCCAAAGCATGAAGTCTCCCTTTCGATTCAGCGACAGTCCCCTCCTACCTGCAAATGTCATCGTGGATGGTTGTTTGGACTACAACATAGAGGTTTTCAAGGCTAGCTTCAATGGAGTCGATTCTCTCCTTGTCAACAATGGTGGGTTTGGGAGTCATTGACTCTGATACTAAATGTTGGAAGTGTTGGATTATGGGTGTGATACGGTTTTCTTTTGAAGCGAAAGTAGCTAGCTTGGCTTGTGAACTTCTGCAATTTTCTCTAAAATACTCGGTTGTTCTTTGTTGCTACATAGTCTCTTTATGTATACTAGTCTCAACGATCATCGTTGAGAAAACCACGTAAATCTCGTGTTTCGTGCCCGTGTTCCTGTGTGACAAATAAATTTTATAACTCTATATTTCAACTGGACTCAATTATTCCTTTTATTATATTTTCGTTCATTTATGAAGTGTTTTCTCTATTTCTTCATGTAAAAGAGTTACATATCGATATTCTTTTTCAAATAAAATATAAGGATGGGTCGACCCATCCCTTCCCGTACCTAAATGGGTATTACAAGACATGGCTCGCACTTAGTACAAAACGTGTATGTATATTGAGTTACCACACCGCCTCTTTGCCATCACTAATTTTTGGTAATGTAATTCATAACAATAAGGACTTTGCTACGGTGACATGACTTGCACTTTTAGGTTGACCTCATATAGGATGAGGTCGACCTAATCTGCACTTTTAAGTCGACCTTATATAGGATTAGGTCGACCTAATATGTCGTTTTAGTTTTGTGAGGTTCAACGACGTGGTTGACCTTTTATAGCAAATGGTCGACCTCATTGGGAAGCGAACAGAATAAAAGGTCGACCCAAATACCTCATAGGCCAACCATTTTGATTAACTGAGCTCGACCGCGTGCACACCGTATTCGTATTGGATAAGGATTCCAACACCAGAAAGGTAACCTAACTTATCTACCACTTAATTGGACTCATTCTCGTCCTAATATCTATAAATATGAATATATGTCACCTTCATAGGAGAAGAAGTAGAAGGGAGAATCGGAGTTTGTAGGAGAAGTAAATGACGCTAGAATTGGCAATGACGGAGAAGGAGATGATTTGCCGGAGGGTTTTGAATTGGGGAAGAAGAACAACTAAAATCGGAGGTTGAGTCAGAGAGAGGGGAGGGATTTTTTTTTTTTTTTTTTTTACAACCAAGAGGGAGGAATTGAAATGGAAAGTGAAAAGTTATTGGTGGTCTCCCCCTTTATTGGTGATCTCTCCCCTTTGGCTTGGCTGGCTAGCCGGCTCATGCTTTCATTTAAGGGAAAATTGAGCCCTTTCCCAAGCCAATAAATTACAATCATTCAATTTTTTTTTTTTTTGTTGTTGATGTGGCCGAATCCTGACCCTATGAGTATATACTCACGAATTTGGCTGTTAGCACAATAGCCGGATTGCCATGAGCCCATCATATTCTGCAGCTGGGAAGTACGAGGAGGCGAAGAGTGGAGAAGGCGCCAGGTAGCAGCTCAATTGAGATTGGTAGTTTAGTTCACTTGTTTGTTGCTGAAAAGAAAGCTCATCCATTAGTGGAAGAAATCTATTATGTGGGAGAAGCTCAGAGGCAAGTTGGCAACAACTGATGCCACCTTACCATTCCAAGAATGGCTTCTTGCGAATCTTCTCCATGAAGAAAAGGGAGTGGATTTTGGTGTCATATGCTGGAATTTGTGGAAGCAAAGGAATGAGGAGGTGATGGAGGGGAAAACCTTTAATGGACCTGGCCTCCACTGTAGAATTGATGCTTGGCTGAATATCATAAAGCAAGCACAAAAGAGAGATGAAGATGTGGGAAGCACACCAACAAGGCTGCTTAGAACTGACCAAATCGCATGGCAGCCACCTGATGTCGGGTGGATCCAACTGCAAACGGACGGGTCAGTCCTTTCTCAGTCTGGAAAAGCAGCAGCAGGAGGCCTTCTGAGGGACCATCTGGGGAGGTGTCTTGATGCTTTTTCGTGCAATCTGGGTAGCTGCACTATCACAGGGGCTGAACTGAAAGGAGCAGCTGAAGGATTGCGTATTGCTTGGGAGAGAGGCTTCAGAAAAGTCCAGCTCAATTTGGACTCCACGACTGCAATTGATATCATCAAAAAGTGCACTGATGATGACCATCGCCATGGCATACTTGCTAGGCAGTTCCATGTTTTACTTAGTAGAAATTGGGAAGTTAGAGTTAATCATGTTTTTAGGGAAGCTAATTTTGCTGCTGACTTCCTTGCTAATAGGGGTCATTCGTTTAATTTTGGCACACATCGCTTCAATGTGTGCGATCCTGAACTTGGGAGATGGCTTCTTCACGATGTAATGGGCATTGCCTATGATCGGTCGATTATTTTAATGAGTTAGACGCTTGACGTCATCCTTTTAACAAAAAAAAAAAGAAATCTATTATGTCATGGAGAAGATGCATACTCAGCCCGAATTTTCTTCTCCCACTTGACAATGAAATGAGGCAAAATTTTACAATACGATTATGATATTCAACAGTTCAACATTGTGGCCTCCCAAAACTGATTTAATGGCAACGTCTACATTGGCAAGACATGATTATGAATTTTCCATACATGATTCATTTTGAGCTTTCTATGTATAGGCTTGTAACGAGGGCGAAAACAAGTGGTAAAGAAATTGATACAATAAGGGATGGACTTTTAAACTACAAAATCTGCATCAGATACTTCAAAGACTTTATGCATGCCTATTGGGTTTACACCAGGCTTGAACGAGCTTCCTTCAATGTACCTGTAAAGTGATAGAAATTCAGTAAATTTTCAAGACATTTTGGCTGTCAGAATTCAGATATGTGGAAATATAATGCTCTATAATGTAGCATCAGAACTCACATCTCTTTCAAGAATGGATGTCTATAGAAGGCTTCAGGAATTCTTCCTGTGAATTGATTGTGATCTAGGTACCTGCAATTAGATCACCAAAACATAGAATCACGCTGAACAAAAGGGATCCCTACTGCATAAAACATAAATCTAACTCCTTCTGTCCTCCCCATTTACTATCTTAGAAGCATGTCTCAGACAAACTAATCCATAGATGAAGCAACGTAAAACCCAGAGAGTACTACTTACAGGTAGGTCAATTTCGGGATGTGAGCAAGTCCAACAGGTATTACTCCAGTCATTTTATTCGAAGACAGGTGCCTGCAAGAAACAAATCAGGGTAAGATGAATCTGGAAGATAATCTCAACTCAGCTGAAGCAAACATGGAAAGACACTCATTCAAATTGCTAGCTAAACTAAACATAAATTATTGCATTGAACTTACAAGATCTCCAAGTTTGTCAAGTTAGCAAGCTGAGCAGGGACTCCTCCAGTCAGATAATTGTTGTTCAAATAGCTAGAAGGACAGCAAATTATATGCAAATGAGTCACATTCGCAGTTCATATAGGGCACCACAAAAGAAACTGATTAATTATTGTCAATATCAAATGTACTTACAGGTTGCGAAGGGCAGGGAAGCAACCTTCAATACGTATTAGTTCCCTGATGGTGCCCACCAAATGATTGTTGCCAACATCTCTGCACAAAAGAAAGCACATATAAGCCAAGCTTAATACAGCATAGAAAGAATAGCAAGAGTTGATGGCCACCTACAAGTGACGAAGGTTCTGCAACGTTCCCAATTCTGCAGGAATTCGCCCAACAAACCGATTTTCTTGCAAGTAAAGGTACCGGAGCTCGGGAAGATTAGCCAGCTCCCTTGGAATCTCTCCTTTGAAGTTATTGAAGCTCAAATACCTGCAACATTCCACATCTTACCTTAACTTGCACGGAGGGGGGAAAAGGGTCTCATAATTCCAGCAAAGGAGTGAAAATGTTCTACTACTCACAAGTGTGTCAAACTCTTGAGTTCACCAATTTCAGGAGGAATGGAATCTTGCAATTTGTTCCACCTCAAGTTCCTATTAACAAAAGCAAACAAGGTCACACCACGAATCACTCAGAACTATTCCAGGATTTGCAAAAAACAGATCAGAAAGCAAATAAGGTAAGAGGGGTTATACAGTATCTTGAGACGCTTCAATCTTCCAATCTGTGGAGGGATTGGCCCAGTCAGCTTGTTGTTATGGAAATCCCTAATTTTGCAGAAACATTTCCAATTTCAGAAAGCCAAATGCAAGCAATATAATCCAACTCATGAAACAAACAGAGGAACATAGCTGGAGCCCTTTACAATTGAAAGAACACAAGCTAGCGAATCGAAATTCCAAGCAACGAGAGCTTACAATCTGGTGAGATCCAACAGATTAGTCACGGCAGTAGGAAACGGGCCAACGATCGACACGGCATACACTTCCCTGCAAATCAATCATCATTCAGAAACACATTCCCCTCAATTACGAACACAAAACTGCCCCAAGCTCTGAAGGAGAGAAATGAGAAGCAATCTCACAATTCGGTAACGACTCTGTAGTCTCCTTGAGTGGAGCAGGTGACGCCGGACCAAGGCTGGAGGCCGTCGCCACCGCAGGGATCGTCGCCCACCCAAGCGTACACCACTCTCCACCCGAGCGACGACTTGATCTCGTTCAAAGCCTTGACTGCACCAAAACGAGAAACTCAGATAAGTTGCCAAAAGTAGTGCGTCGGTGCCGGCGGGGGAAGTTAGATCTGGAGATTACCGTCGCGTTTGAGGGTTTTGGAGAGCGCGTGAGTGTGGAAGAGAGCGAAGGTGAAGAGAAAGAGGAGGAGGTTGGCGGAAAGCGATCGACGCGCCATTGTTGTGGGGGAAAGGGTCGCAGCTCGCTTGGGAAGAAGATCGCGCGAACAGACTGCTGCTAGTATTAGTGAAGAAATGGGATTTACTAATTTTCCTATTTTTCTTTTTTTCCGCCTCCAGTTGTTCTCATTTCTTTTTGCTTTTTCTTTCTTCAGATAGCTAACGCGGATTGGCAGAGAAGGATGATGCAATGGAATAATGGAAGCCAAGCCAGGCAGAAGAATGTGCTTCAGCGTCACTGGCTTCAGACCCTTTTTCTTTTTTGTTGTCTAAAATTTAATACGAAAATCAAGCTTCAATCATGGTATTAGCGTTATAGTTTCAATTAATCTAGTGATCATTTGGTGTTGGTTAGCAAATTATAGTTTCAATTACTACTCACAAAGTCATGGGAACCATCTGTATATTTAATAGTGAAATCAGCGCACATTATTTTCTTCTTCGTACTTTTTTAATCTAGTTACTTATATTTTAAATTTGTATAGACATTAACCAGATGTAATTGACATTATCGAATTCTTAGATACCAAACACTTTATGAAAAATAACATCCAACTTGTGTGCTATCATTCAAGATTCATAACACGAGGAGGATGATCAGGTTCCGTACTAATAAGGACTGCAGTTGTTATTGTTTTGCTAAATATTGGGTGATCCTTTGATTCTCTTACATACGTGCACAATCAAACATTACTATATATAAAGGTGAAGTGTAATTCCTGTTGCATAAAAAATTACTAATTAGTCACTATTTAACAATTTAGATTTTGATACTCCAAATTACTATATATAAAGGTGAAGTACAATTACTGTTGCATAAAAAATTACCAATTAGTCATTATGTAACAATTTACATTTTGATACTCCAAATTACTATACATAAAGGTGAAGTGCAATTACTGTTGCATAAAAAATTACTAATTAGTCACTATGTAACAATTTACATTTTGATACTCCAAATTTAATTTTAATGTAAAGTAATATTTTGGTATCTAAATTTTATGAGATTTTCGTACCTATAATTTTTTAAATTTACATATTGGTTCAATGTTTAGATTTCATTTAAATCCACGAATCCAATTCACCAATCCTTTCGAACCAATCCATGAATTCAATCCACCATAACACACAAGTATAAATTTAGTTTGTAACATACAAGATGTTCGTACCTACAATTTTTTAAATTCACATATTGGTTCAATGTTTAGATTTCACTTGAATCCATGAATCCAATCCACCAATCATTTTGAACCAATCCGTGAATCCAATCCACCATAACATACAAGTATAAATTTAGTTTGTAACATACAAGATGTTGTATGACTCCACTGTAGGAGAAGATAATGTCATTTAATATTTGCTCATTACGTGAAATATTAAAAATAACCCAAATTATACAAGTATAAATTTAGTTTGTAACATACAAGATGTTGTATCACTCAACTGTAGGAAAAGATAATGTCATTTATTTTTTCGTTGAATCAGTTCCCAATTTTATTAAAAAAACAAGAAAGTGCAGAGGCAAAAACCTTTTGCACGCTGATACAACGAAGGGGCAAATTCTAGACCAGAACTCACCCCGCTCCCACTACCACTTCCAACCTCCCCCAACTATGGCCACCCAACAAAGTTTATAGTTTTACAATCATCTTCTAAAACTGGATAATAGGAAACAAAGAAAAGGAAACCTCTCTTCCATAACTCTTGCACTACTTCCGCCGTTCTTGGGACCTCACCATGGACTCTTCGACACCGTTCTTGCCAGATAAAGGTAATCAAAGAGCACCAAATCGAACCAATGAGCCTTCCCAGTGTCGTGCCACGCTTTGCGATCACACCTGCATCTGAGAGTCTAAGCTCCCATGAACTGCTACTAAACAAATTCCCCACACTGTTAACTAAGCTTCTCGAGAAACAACAGTCGAAAAATAAATGCTCACGAGTTTCACTACTCGCAACACACAAACACACAACTACCATCGGTCACCTTACCCCATCGTACCAACTTTGTTTTAGTGACTATCGCATCCATGATGACAAGCCATGTTATGAAACTCCATCGTGGTACATAATACTTACCCCAAAGGAGCACAAACCAGTGTTGTTTACAATGCGACGGTCGAAGAGTCTCCCAAACTGTCTTCACTGAGTAACGAGGCATCAACTTCCCATTCCAAAGACCCCCCTCCCCTTGCCTCTGCATAAACGGCTGCACAGAAGCCCTAAGCTTGAGGATTCGCCTCCACGCCCATGAGCTCGAGGGGTTAATCCTCATGAGCCACATATCCTTCCCCTTACATCGATATGCAAGCATCCAAGCTACCCACAAGGCCCCGGTTTGCATCATGAGAATCCAAAGCATTCTGGAAATACATGCCTTGTTCCATGACACAAGATCCCGCAAGCCTAGACGACCTTCATTCTTAGGATATGTAATTCTCTCCCAAGCCACTTTTGCTCTGCCTGAGTCCTCCCCATGCCAGAGGAAGTCTGAGCATAGCTTCTGAAGCTGTTGTAGAACCTTCTTCGGAAAGACAAATAATTGGAACCAGAATTGGATTACCCCCATGAGGACCGATGACACCAGCTATAAACGCCCTGCATACGATAACTTCTTTGCTCGCCATGACCGGATTTTCATAGTAATTTTGTCCAGCAACATATCCCACTCTGCAGAGCTAACCTTTCCAGACACAAGCGGCAGACTTAGATAACGGACCAGGAGAGCCCCTTCCTTAAACCCTGTAATTGCCAATGCATTTGCCTTGAAAGCAATAGCCTCTCCACCGAAATAGATCGCACACTTTTCCGGATGACACTTTAATCCTGACATTAGATAGAATTGATGAAGCACATCTTTCACCTTAAGAATAGCATACCCTGACCCTATTGTGAATATCAAAAGATCATTTGTGAAACACAAATGATTGAGAGCCACTTTGCTGCACATCGGGTGGAACGGCAAAGAACCTGCCATAGCTTCCCTATAAAGCAAACCCCCGAAAGCCCCTCCATAACTAAACAGAACAAATACGGCGACAAGGGATCTCCCTGCCTCACCCCCTTATGCGCTTTAAAGAAACCACATAGACCCCCCATTCAAGCTAATACTGAAGTGAGCAGTATACAAGCAAACCCTTATCCACTCAATGATCTGCGTAGGGAATCCCATAACCCTCATAACCTTAAGCAAGTAATCCGAATGCACAGAATCAAAAGCTTTCATAATATCTACCTTTATGGCTGATCTAGAAGAAATTTGCTTCTTATTATACCCACTAACAAGTTCCTGAGCAATCAAAATGTTATCCATTGTTCTTCTCCCCGGTATAAACGCTATTTGATTAGTCAACCTATTTGCCAACAACTTTGAAACCCCTTTATACAGAACATTCACACAAGAAATGGGTCGGAAATCTTTCAGTTTTTCAGCATTATGGACTTTAGGAATCAATGAAACTGCAGTAGCCTTTATACCACTCAACATACGACCCGAGACAAAGAAATCCAGAGTACCTGCTATGATGTCCTTCCCAATTATATGCCAGGTGCGCTTAAAGAATGCCGCCGAAAATCCATCAGGTCCAGGTGCTTTGGAACTATTGAGGTGAAAGAACACCTCCTTAATATCCTCCTGCTGAAAAGAAGCACACAACTTCCGAATAGCTTATGCAGTAAGGCGGGCCTTAATAAGTCGCTGAAGCAAATATTCATCTGCATGCACCTCCTCATTAATCCTACCAAAGAGCTTTTGGTAAAAAGCTACTGCCTCATCATCAATCTGATCCACCTCCACCACCTCCTCTCCTGTTTTTGTAACTAGCTTCCTAATAGCCTTCTTGGAGTTCCTAATTTTGCAGCTTGATGGAAAAACGGAGTGCCCTTATCCCCTTTAGTCAACCAATCCACTCTCGAATTCTGCCAATAGAAGCTCTCCTCCTGCCGCCGCAACACATCATACTGCTTTTGCATCTCAGATCTTGCCTTTAACGTATCCTCATCAGGAGATTCAAGTGACTGTTTTACGAGTGTCATTAACTGTTGCTCCATTGCCTTAACCTGCTCACTGATGTTACCAAATACGTCCTTATTCAATTTACGAAGGGCCTTTTTAACAACTTTAAGCTTGCATTGCACTCTGTACCAAGGGCACCTCTGAACTGGTAAACTACATGCTTCCTCCATAATTTTGAGAAACTCAGGATGAGACTCCCAAAATTCAAAGTATTTAAACGCATTTGGCAAAGACTTAACAACCGAAGTAGTAGCCACAGAAATACCACTGTGATCAGTAAAGGGGGCCACAATCGCTTCCATCATACAGTTTGGAAAGCTATCTATCCACTCAAGATTAACCATTGCCCTGTCCAGCCTCCTAGCTATAGGATTCTCCTGCTAATTATTAACCCAAGTAAACCAGGGACCTGTATTACGATAATCTACCAACTCCACCTCGTTGATCCAGTTCTCAAAATCAGACATACTAGAAGTTTTAACTTGCACATTTGATGTTTCAATCAGATGAACCACAACATTGAAGTTCCCCCCCCCCCCCCCCCAACTATCCAGGGCCTATGAACCACCTTATATCTCATTATTTCTCTATAAGTACTCCTTCGCTCCGCTTCCTCATTCGAACCCATAAACAGCAGTTAAGAAAAATGGAATTTTGTCATCCCCTTGAACCAGAGCATGAACAAAGTTCTTTCCAGCTTTGATAACCTACAAAGTAACTTCAGGCAGCTAGAAGATCCAAACACGCCCCAGCTCAGAATCAACATAATTCAAACAACGTTCCCAGCCTACAAAACAATCTGCCAATACCTTATCCTGCTTACATTTCCTTACCCTTGTTTCCAATACCGCTACCACCTCCACCTGTCTCAACCTCGGGACTCTCATCAAGTCCCATATCTTAGAGGGTTTATTCCAAAAGAGGATATTCATCCCGAAGACAAGGGTTGGCACCCTTTCTTCTTCCCAATTTTCAAAGGAGCATCCTGCAAATTAGTAATCTCACACTCCCCCAAATCACTAAGAACTTGAAATGGAGAATGAGCCTGTTGCAGGAACTAATAGGACTCCCTGGCAAAGACTGAGAATGCGGCTTAATGCCATTTATGACTTTTTGAAAATCAGCCTCAGATGGAAGTCTCTGTGAATCAGTGACAACCACAGCTTGGAAAGAGTCTTCGAGATT